TCGGGTGATTCTCCTGCCTCAGCCTCCCGAGTAGCCGGGATTACAGGTGAGCGCCACCACGCCCAGCTAATTTTTGTATCTTTAGTAGAGATGGGTTTCACCATGTCGGCCAGGGTGTTCTCGGATTCCTGACTTCAGCTGATCCGCCCGCCTTGGCTTCCCAAAGTGCTGGGATTACAGACATGAGCCACTGCGCCTAGCCGACTTAATTTTTAAAAAGTTTCTGCCCAGACAAAAAAGTACCATATGCAAAGGGGGAAATAAACCCACACAACAAAATTTAAAAATGGGAAAAACACAGGTAATAGATACTAATTTTCTTACTATAGAAAAAGATCAATACGTGCATTAAAATGATAGTTCTTGGCCGGCTGTGGTGGCTCACACCTGTAATTCCAGCACTTTGGGAGGCCGAGGCGGGCTGATCACCTGAGGTTGGGAGATCGAGACCAGCCTGACCAATGTGGAGAAACCCCATGTCTACTAAAAATGTAAAATTAGCCAGGCACGGGCTGGGCGCGGTGACTCATGCTTGTAATCCCAGCACTTTGGCAGGCTGAGGTGGGCAGATCACCTGAGGTCAGGAGTTCGAGACCAGCCTGACCAATATGGTGAAACTCCGTCTTAAAAAAAAAAAAATTAGCCAGGCATGGTGGCTCTTGCCTTGTAGTCCCAGCTACTCCGAGGCTTAGGCGGGAGAGTGACTCCAAGCCTGGGGGCAAAGGCTGCAGTGAGCCGAGATCACGCCACTGCACTCCAGCCTGGGCGACAGAGCGAGACTCCGTTTAAAAAAAAAAAAAAGCCAAATCATGTAAGCTTTCACCGTAAGCAGGTAGAAAAGTGAATCAAATAAAACCCAAAGTGTGGCAGGTAGGAAATGAAGAGGAGGTGCACGCACTGGCACACAGACTGATGACGGAGACACATCAGCAGCGCCCAAAGTTAGTTATGAGATAGTTAATAAAGCTGACCGGGCGCTGTGGCTCATGCCTGTAATCCCAGCTCCTAGGGACGCAGAGGCAGGAGGATACCTTGAGCCCAGCAGTTTGAGGCCTGCCTGGGCAATATAGCCAGACCCCATTCTCCACAAAAAAAAAAAACAAAAAAAAAAAACAACCCACCACCAAACTGGTAAATTCCTGGCAAGCCTGATCAAGAAAAACACTACAGAAAACACGGATTCTCAAAAACCAGAATGAAAGAGAGGACATCACCACAGATCTTACAGGCATGGGAGGTAAGAAAATCCCGCACTCCCAGGGTGTCACGGGCAAATCCTAACGACTACCTAAGGAAGACACAATAACAAGCGTTCACAAACTCTTCCTGGAAACAGAAGTGGAGGGAATACTTCCCTGCCCATTTTATAAAACGAACATAACCCTGCCACGAAACCTGCCACAGGCATCATAAGAAAACTACAGACCAATGCCACGAACGGCCACCAAAGCAAAACTTCCCCAACAACAACCTCACCAGATTAGCTCCTCGGCACACAACAAGTACAGCACGCGGAACAAATGAGGGTGAGGCTGGTTCAACGTTCCAAACAGTCGGTGTGGCTCACTACGCTGAAACTGTCTCAGAAATCACAGTAAGATAAAACGGATCCCGGCCCTGAACGCAGAAGCCTACACGGTGAAGCGTCCAAGAGAAAACACCGGAACTTCCACACTGAATTCCTAATTTGCAAAAAATAAAAGAAAACACAGAAGAAATCTCCACAAATTTGGTCAAGGAACGATTTCTTTTTTTAAGAGATGGAGTCTCAGCCGGGCGCGGTGGCTCACGCCTGTAATCCCAGCACTTTGGGAGGCCGAGGCGGGCGGATCACGAGGTCAAGAGATCGAGACCATCCTGGTTAACATGGTGAAACCCCGTCTCTACTAAAAATACAAAAAATTAGCTGGGCATGGTGGCACGTGCCTGTAATCCCAGCTACTGAGGAGGCTGAGGCAGGAGAATTGCCTGAACCCAGGAGGCGGAGGTTGCGGTGAGCCGAGATCGCGCCATTGCACTCCAGCCTGGGTAACAAGAGCGAAACTCCGTCTCAAAAAAAAAAAAAAAAAAAAAAGGAGATGGGGTCTCACTATGATGCCCAGGCTGGAGTGCAGTGGCTATTCACAGGCGCGATCCCATGACTGATCAGCACGGGAGTTTTGACCTGCTCCGTTTCCAACCTGGGCGGGTTCACCCCTCCTTAGGCGACCTGGTGGTCCCCGGCTCCCGGGAGGTCCCCATATTGATGCCAAATTTAGTGTGGACACCTGATCGGCATAGCGCACTACAGCCCAGAACTCCTGGGCTCAAGGGATCCTCCAGCCTCAGTCTCCCGATTAGCTGGGACTACACGCACGCACCACCGCGCCCAGTGGAACGACTTCTTAGGAGATCAATAACCCTACACTGCAAAAGAAAAACACATTCGGATGGACTTCATCAAAATTAATTTCTGATTTTCGAAAGACAGTGATGGAGGCCGGGCACAGTGATGAATGCCTGTCATCCCAGCACTTTGGGAGGCCGGGGCCAGCAGATCACTTGAGGTCAGGAGTTCGAGACCATGCTTGGCAACATGGTGAAACCCCGTCTCTACTAAGATACAAAACCTCGCCGGGCGCGGTGGCTCGTGCCTGTAATCCCAGCTACTCGGGAGGCTGAGGCAGGAGAGCTTGAACAGTTCGGAGGTTTTGGTGAGCCGCGATCACATCACTGCACTCCAGCCTGGGTGACAGAGCGAGACTCTGTCTCAAACACACTCACACACACACACACAACGGTGGTGATGAAGGACAGATGGTGTTTCCAGAGGTTGGGCTGGGGCCACCGAGGTGGGGGAGTCACAGGTTTGGCGCGGTGGGGCTGACGGGCTGACTGTGGTGGTATCGGAACCCCACCCCACATACATGTCGGTTTTACTGCGTGATGATTTAGCAAAAAGCAAACCACAGGCCCAGCTCAGGTGCCCTCCCCCAGCCCACTGTCAGGGCAGGTCTGATCTGCTCCCACCTGGCTGGAGAGACTTCCCACCACACCCTCACCCTCTCTCTGGGCCCCAGCGTCCTCATGCAGAGGGGCAGGAAAACCCCACCCACCACCCACTCCCCACTCTGCTGCCCTCAGGCAGGCAGGAAAGGCTCCCGCTGGTGGGGGGCTGGGCCAGGCTTGCAGGGGCCAAAGTCCAGGAGCCAGGCTGGGAGGCTCCAGGCTCCTCCCCAGGAGGGCAAAGTCCCTGAGAAAGGCGGGTGGGCTGCCCAGGAAGACTCGCCCCCGCTCTGTGCCTTCACCCAAAACAGCCTGATTCAAAAGCTCAGGGACTCGTGATGGCTCTTTGGACCCATTGCACAGATGAAGAAACTGAGGCTCAAAGAACAGTGACCTGCCTCACCTCTGCAGGTGTGGACAGAAAGGGGAACCAGGGAACACTGGGGCCACAGCCAGGGCTGCCTGCAGCAGAGAGGCCTGGCCCCGCGGGAGGTCCTGGCTCCTGCCTCCCCCATCCTCTCTCCCTTTCCTGGTCCTGTGGGCTTGGACCACAGCCAGGAGCCCAGCGAGCATCCAGGTACAGCGGGGCCTTTTTTTCTTTTTTTTGAGACGGAGTCTTGCCCTGTCCCCAGGCTGGAGTGCAGTGGTGTGATCTCGGCTCACTACAACCTCCGCCTCCCGGTTCTAGTGATTCTCCTGCCTCAGCCTCCCGAGTAGCTGGGATTGCAGGTGCCTGCCAGCACACCTGGCTAATTTCTGTATTTTTAGTAGAGACGGGATTTTACCATGTTGGTCAGGCTGGTCCCAAACTCCTGACCCCGGCTGATCCACCTGCCTCGGCCTCCCAAAGCGCTGGGATTCCAGGCCTGAGCCACTGCGCTCAGCCCCTTTTCTTTTCTTTTTCTGAGATGGACTCTGGCTCTGTTGCCCAGGCAGGAGTGCAGTGGCACGATCTCAGCTCACTGCAACTTCTGCCTCCTGGGTTCAAGAGATTCTCCTGCCTCAGCCTCTCGAGTGGCTGGGATGACAGGCATATGCCACCATGCCTGGCTAATTTCGTATTTTCAGTAGAGACGGGGTTTTGCCGCGTTGGCCAGGCTGGTCTCAAACTCCTGACCTCAGGTGATCCACCCGCCTCAGCCTCCCAAAGTGCTGGGATTACAGGCGTGAGCCACCGTGCCTGGCCTAAGACTTTGTTGCCCAGGCTGCTGGAGGGCCATGGTGGAATTCTAGGTTGAGGTCTTGGGCTCAAGCGATCCTCCTGCCTCAGCCTCCCGAGTGGCTGGACTACAAGCTCAGGCTACCAGGCCTGGCTAGGAGTGGGTGGACTGCTTGAGCCCAGGAGCTCGAGACCAGCCTGGGCAACACACAGAGACTCCCATCTCTACAAAAATAAAATAATTAGACAGACATGGTGGTGCCTGCCTGTAGGCCCGCTACTGGGGAGGCTGAATCAAGGGGATCACTGGAGTCCGGGAGGAGGAGGCTGTAGTGAGCCAAGATCTCACCCCCGCACGCCAGCCTGGGCACCTGGGTGACAGAGCAAGACCCCGTCTCAAAGCAAACAAACAGAAAGAAAGAAAAGGAAACAACCCCCCAAAAGAGCGTATTTCCCGAGTTCTGAGTGTGACCGAAACGGATCGAGGAGAAAACAGAAGCCGTCGGGCTGGCGGCTGGTCCGCTCGCAGGCAGCCCCGTCAGAGCCCCGAGAGCCCGCCGGCCTCCGTGCGGCCTCCAGCAAGGGCATCTTTGTTCTACCCGCCCCTCCGGATCCAGTTCCTTGTTTTGGGGCCAGGACGATAATTTCCTCCACTGGCTCTTCCCATCCAGGGCTGCCCAAAACCCAGTGTTCCCTCTGCACACCCCGGGCTACCTCAGCCCCCAGGGCGGGGTCCCTGTGTCCGCTGGTTCTGGCCTCCTCCAGCCCCTGTGGGTGTCAGAACCTGGGTGACCACTCTCCCTGGAGCATGAGGACAGCGAGGTCCTGGGGGTGCCCTGTGGGGGTGGGGCCTCACCTGGACGTGGTACTGGGAGGTCTCGTGCATGATGACGTTGGAGTTGGAATACTTCTTCCTCTGCTCTGAACGGGGAGACGCCAGTCATCACCCCATAGGCAGGACCCACAGCCTCCCGTTCAGCTCGGACTGGACCCCCAGGCGGGGTCACAAGGGAAGGTGGAGTCAGGCTGAGGGGGGCTGCTCCGTGGGAGGATGGGGTGTGAAACAGGACCTGCAGGAAGGCCCCTCCCTCCCTCCAGAGAAGCCCCCTTGGAGAAGGACGAGGCTCACGGGCTTGCTCAGAGTGGGGACTGGGAGCCTGTTCCCTGGGGGGTTCCTGTCCCGGAGGGTGAGGGGACAGGAGAGGCCCTGGCCAGGCTTCTTCCCGCCCTGAGAGCTGCCAGCTTCACCCTCTGCCCTCCCAGGTCTTCTCGCTTTCCAGACTGGGCACCGTGTCCAAAGACACAAATGGAGGGGTGCATCTAGCTAGGGAGAGGGCGGGGTCAGGCCTGGGGAAGGGCAGAGTGGAGGGGGGAAGTGGGACTCGCCAGGCCCCCCTCCTGGGGCAGACACCTGGCGGCTCATTCTGCCTGAACCCCCTGCGATCCGGTTGCAGCGGGGAGTGCAGGGGAATCAATATTGATGCTCCCTGAATTATTAGTAAAGGCCTCTCCCCTTACGGGGTGGGGGAGGGGATCCAGTGGCCTGGAGTTTTCCAAAGGTTGATTAGGGTCCAGAGGCCACCCTGGGCCCCCAGGGATCCCCTGTGCTGGGCCAGGCACAGCCGTGGGGCAGGCTAGAGGCAGTGCCCGTCTCTCCCCCCTGACACCCTGCCCTGCTCAGCCCCCACTCACCAAACAGGTCCTTGGGGCTCATCTTGGCCATACCGTCGGACCGGCCCAGGCTGCCGCTGCAGGGGAGGGGCTGGTGAGGGCAGGGCCCAACTGCACCCCTCCCTGGGGACTGCCTGGGGGGAAGGCTGGGATATTCGGGATGGGCGGGGGGCTCACTTGGTGGCACCCGGGCAGCAGCTCACGGACCCGGACTGGCTCATGGCGTCCTGGGCAGCAGCCAGCGGGGGAAGGGCACCCTCAGCGTGGCCCGAGTCTGAGGCTTGCACACCTGGTGGACAGAGGGGCTCTCTGCTGACTCTTCCTCCTGGCCTGGCTGATGCCCTCCATACTCCTCCTTCCCTGGGCCAGAGCCCCGACTGGCCTGGGCTGGGCAGGGGTTCCTCAGGGGGCAGAGCCCCTGCCCCAAGTCCCAGTTGGCCCTCGTTAAGCCTCGTAGTGCCCCAGACCTTGGACTCTCCACAGGGACCCCCAGAGCCTACCTGGGAGGCTCTGACAAGGGCCCTGGGGGGAAGGCGCCTTCTGAGCAGCGGAGCATCGAGTTCAAGGCCCTGGTGCTGGGCGGCAGGGGGGGTGTGGTGGGAGAGTGGGGGTGGGTAGGGGAGGGGTGCGGTGGGGCGGTGGGGAGGGCAGGTGGGAGCTGCAGGGTGGCCGGAGAGGTGAGGCTGGAGCCAGGGGGTGGACATGAAGTCCAGAGGAAGCCGGCTCTGCCTGCCAATCCTGCCCCACCCAGGCCTGCACCCCAAGGAGCCCTGGCCACGCACTGTGGACTTGCCACCCATGCATGCCACCTCTGTCCAGGCCCTAGCAAAGAGACCGGCCCTTGGCTCCTTCCTGGGCCTGGGAAGCGTGGCAGGGAAGGCGGTGTGGATAGGGAAGCCTAGGGTCCCAGGGTGTGGTGTCTCCTCACCCCGAAGGCAGGGAGGTGGTCAGGCGGCCAGCGCAGGGGAGGGGCTGGAGGGCTGGTGTGGGTGGGGCTGAGACTGGGAACCCCGTCCAGCTGCCCCACCATACGGTATTCCCTGCCCCTCCAAGAGGTAGGGTGGCTATGTGGTGGGCAGCTGGTGCCTGGGGCCTCCCCAGGGGCAGAATCCCTAGAGCCTGCCTCTGGGCTCCCAGCCCTGACCTCGCCCCCAACACATTTTGGGGAAAACTAGGTCCCAGCTGCCAGAGCAGGCAGGTGGGTCTGATTTGGGCTGGACCCTGGGGCCTTCCCTGGGGGATCAGCACAGCCTGATGGCCCTGAACCAGGCTGACGTGTCTCAAGGGGACTGTGACCTGCGTGGACCTGGCTGTCCTCTGGCTCTGCGGCCAGCTCCCCACGGGTCCACGCCATCCGCCTCCTGCCAGGGCCAGCGGGGCCTCGCCCTTTGGCTTCAGAGTTTGGGTCTGCCAGGGTGGGGGCCACCGGCCGGTGTTGCTGGTATGGTCACGGGAGTGGCCTGGAGCACCCAGGACTTTCTGGTTTGACCAGGTCTGGCCTAGAGGGCGGGCTCCTGCGAGGTCTGGGGGGTCCCTGGGGCACTGCCACAGCCACGAGGGGCTGGGCTCGCCAAGAGGGCTTGGCCACTTCCTCCGTCCACCTATGCATGGAGAATGTCCGGAATGTTCACGGGCTCAGCGTCAGGCCTGAGTGTTTGCTTAATGGGATTCCTGCTGGGCTCCACCAAGGGTGCCAGGCACGTGTGTCCAGGCACACACCTGCCAGGACACCCACACACCCTCGTAGACTCAGGCCTGCGGGCAACAAACACGAAGGCAGGGTCGACATGCAGCCCCCCGGGGAAGGCCAGGCTGGGAAGCTGCTGGCCAGCGGCTGCCTGCGGGGTGTGGAGGACCTCGGACCCCGCCACGGCCTGGCAGCAGCACGGTGGGCCCAGGTGTGGTGTCTGGGTCTGAGGCACCTGGGGCTCGTGGGAGCCCCGCCCCCGCTCACTAGGGGTGGGGGCGGAGCCCTGGAGGCCCAGGCTGCACTTTGGTTTTACTGCTGTCATTTTCCTGCCGGGAAGCGGGGCAGAGCAGGGGGCCCGGTCAGTAGGGCAGTGGAGATGAGGAGGCCCTGGCAAGGACAGGAGGGTGGAGGGACGGGCTCCAAGTTCAAATTCCAGCTCCACATGCTGAGTGACCTTGGAGAGGGGTCAGCGGAGTCACAGGGGCTCCAGGCTGCCTTCAGGGCACGGCGTGGGACCTGGAATGGGGTGCCCCTTATGCCCTGGCCATGACCTGGTTGGGAAGCTATGGTTTGAGGAGGAAGGGATAAGCTGGGAAGCTGAGGGTGGAGAGGGAGGCGCAGGCAGGTGGAGAAGGCCCGGTGGGAGCGCCGTGCCAAGGCCTGGGTGCTAAGCAGGCCCCGGAGAGGCTAGGCACAGGGTGGGACCCAGGATGAGCCAGGAGGGGAGGGGCCGCCGCCAGCTGGGCCTGCTGCCCAGCACAGCTGACCGGGGGGACTGGGCACGGGGCGGGTGGGGACGAAGGTCCGAGTATGCCTGGTCCTGCCTCCCCCTCCTCTGCCACCAGGGAGACCCCACACCAAGGGGCGACGCCAGGCAGCTGGGCCCAGGAACCGGGAGCCCGGGATGGCGGAAGTTTGCAGCCCCACAGGCTCCTGCCAGCCCCCCTCCTGCCTCACCCACCAGGGCCCCTGCGGCCCCCGTCCCAGCCTCCCCAACTCCCTGAAGCTCCCACCCCGACCCTGACCTGGAGGCGGACCCAGCTGGTGCCTCCCTGGCCTCTGGCTTCCTTCCGGGCTGCGACACCCGGGAAGCGCGTCCTGATTGCGGCCCAGCGGGAACGGGCTTTTGGGGCTCGCCTCCACGGTCAGGCTCTGGGGGGGCCCTGCCGCCCGGAAGGGGGAGAAGCCTCGCTACCCCCTGCCCCCTCCGGACGCAGGGATTGCCCCCACCGAGCCCCAGAGCTGGGAGGGGGCAGACGGCGGGTGAGTCACCCATTGCTGCCAAAAAATACCCTGGCTCACCGGCCGCGCCCAGGACCGACGGCGCAGGCCGGGCTGCAGCAGGACCCGCCCGACCGCGGGTGCAGGGGAGGCAGGGCCCGGCCAGGACGCCCCCCCAGACCCCCAGCCCCCCCAGACCCCCAGACCCCCCAAACCCCCCAGATCCCCGTCCCCGCCCCGGCCCTCCGACGCCGCCCGGCCTGGTGTCCCGAACCAGAAGCCCCACGTCCCACGGCCCCTGGGTAAACTGAGGCCCGGGCGGGCGTGCTCCCCGCGTCCGCGGCGCTCACCTGCTCGGGCCCGTCCCCTCGCTCCCGCCCGGGCGTCCGTCTGTTCGCACCTGGCCGCGGCGCGCGGTGTCCCTGGCGGGTGGGACGCTGGCGGGGCCGGGCCGGGCCGGGCCGGGGCGGAGCCGGGAGAGGAGGAACCTGAGCGGCAGGTTGCGGAGTCACCGGAGAGCAGGCGCGCTCGCGGGGGAGGAGGGCGTGGGGGCGCCCCTGCCGCCTGGGACCCAGCGCCGCCCGCCCGGGTCCCCCAGGGCTCCAGCCCCAGCCCCAGCCCAACTCGTCCTCCCCAAAACCCCCCTGGGGGCCCCTTGAGCTCGGGCCTGGGGACAGGCGGGCGAGGCCTGGGGCTCTTCCTTGGGCAAGGCCCAGCTGCACCCCGGCAGGCGGGGCTGGGGGAGGGGACTGGGGAGACACTGCCCACGGGCCTTGGGGGGCAGCGCCAGCGCGATGGGCAGAGTCCCTTCATCCCCTGTGGGCGCCTCAGGCCTTGGGAAGCTGCGGCAGAGGCTTCGGTGGGTGGGTGGGCCAGGCAGGACCCAGGCCTGGAGCGCGGAGCTCCCAGGGTGGGATGGCGCCTCCCTCCCACTCCTACAGGCCCCACTTCTGCCCCGCCTGGGCACTGAGGGACAGGGGTGTCGGGGACGTGGGGACACCTGTGGCCCTCTGCAGATGCCCGTCCTTTCGTGGCCCCTCATCAGGCCCAGGCCCCACCCTCTGCCGGCAGCAGGGGGACTGTCTGGTTCTGTCCTCATCCACCTGGTTCCCAGGATGGCCCTTCCGCCTCAGCTGCTGACCGCTCAGAACAGGGCCAGGGTGCAGTGGACACCGCGGGTAGCCGGCTGCCATGCAGTGAACTGGGCAAGGAGGAGGTGAAGGGCACAGGACACCCCAGGCCCATGCAGGGACCCGAGGCTCCAGCTGCTGGTCCTGGGCAAGGGAGGGAATGAGTGTGGCCAAGAGTCTGGGTCCCCAGGCCGTGGTCCCAGAGGGGCAGGGCTCGTGTGTTTACCTGGGCTGGCAAGAGCACTTCCTGGGGAGGCGCCACAGGTGAGCTCCGTGGAGGGGTGGCAGGAAGTGGCCCTCCTTTGGGCCCAGTGCCTGCCCCTGAACCCCAGCAAGGACTGGCTTCCTGGTTTATGGCCTTTGCAGTCTGATCTCCTAGAACCTGGCATGGTCCTGCTCCGCTCGGGGTCTTGCCTGACCCAGAGCACGGGGGTCAAGCACCCCAAACCCACGGTGCCCTCACCCTCTCTGGAGGCACAGGTGGGAGTGGCCAAGAGGGCACTGCCGAGGGGGGTTCTCTCCACCCATACACGGTGTCTATACTGGGACAGTGAGTGCCGGCCTGCCCTCAAGGGGGTCCCTGTCCACCCATACACAGTGTCTATACTGGGACTGTGAGTGCCGGCCTGCCCTCAATGAGTGCCGGCCTGCCCTCAAGGGTCCCTGTCCACCCATACACAGTGTCTATACTGGGACTGTGAGTGCCGGCCTGCCCTCAAGGGGGTTCCCCTCCACCCATACACGGTGTCTATACTGGGACTGTGAGTGCCGGCCTGCCCTCAAGGGGGTCCCTGTCCACCCATACGCAGTGTCTGAGTGCTGGCCTGCCCTCAAGGGGGTCCCTGTCCACCCATACAGTGTCTATACTGGGACTGTGAGTGCCGGCCTGCCCTCATGGGGGTCCCTGTCCACCCATACACGTGTCTATACTGGGACTGTGAGT